CAACCAAATTTCTTTTATTAAATACTCGATAAGCTTTAGAATTTAAGGAATAACCCAGAAAAATTCCTTCATCACTTTTAGCATCAAATTTGCCAAGATTGTCTTTACTGTTGTTTAAAACAAAACACTTACATCCAACAGGATGAAAATAACTAATGTTAGGCTTTTTATTTTTAAAAAGTTCATATGGAGTTTTCTTTAAAATAGGCCTAATCATTACTTGATTAATAACATAACAAGCGGTATAACATAACAAGCGGTATTTGTGGCTTCCGCCCAAAAATACTTTGGCAAATTGTTTTCACAAAGCATGGTTCTAGCCATTTCTTCTAAAGTTATATTTTTCCTCTCAACAACTCCATTTTGTTGAGGGGTTCTAGGTGCTGAAAAATTATGGCTAATACCATTAGAATTACAAAACTTAGTAAATCCAAGATTTTCAAACTCAGTTCCATGATCACTCTAACACTAGTTATAGAGTAACCTTTTTCGTTTTGGATTACTTTTGAAAATGTGATGAATTTTTCTAATGCTTCATCTTTAGTACTTAATAATAGAACCCAAGTATATCTAGAATAGTCATCTACCAAGACAAATGCATATTTTTTTCCACCCAAGGTAGTAGTTCTAGATGGCCCAAAAAGATCTAAGTGGATCAATTGTAATACTCTACTAGTTGACACATCATTAATGGATTTAAAAGAAACTCGCTTTTGTTTTCCTTTAGCACAAGCATCACAGATTTTATCATTATCAAATTTTAGTTTAGGCAGCCCTCGAACCAATTCTCCTTGAACTAACCGTTGCAAAACACTCATGCTAGCATGTCCTAGTCTCCTATGCCATAACCAACTATCATGCTCATTTTTTGCAACTAGGCATAAATTAGTCACATTAATAGAATCTAAATGCACCATGTAAATGTTTCCTATTCTATGACCAATAAGCATAATCCGATTAGATTCAATGTCAATAACTTTACAACCATTAGTTTCAAACATGACATTGAATCCTTGATCACAAAATTGACTAATACTCAAAAGATTATGCTTTAATCCATTCACATATAAAACATTTTTAATTTGTATGGAAGAGGTATTACCTATTGTACCTATGCCTTCAATGTGACCTTTTGAATTATCACCAAAAGTCACTTCTCCTCCATTTTTGGCGTTAAGCTCTATGAATCGATTTTTGTCCCAGGTCATGTGTATCGAGCATCCACTATCAAGGTACCATTAATTTGAATTTGTTTCCCATGCCTTGTAGCAATGCTCCTTTCCCTACAAACATAGATTAATTTTTTATTTTTGGTACCCAAATTCTTTTGGGTCCATATTCATTAGTTTCCAAAATCCTAGTCCCCTTAGGTATCCATTTGTATAGGATATCTTTATCTTTAGTAGTAATGAGTTCTTTAGGAACCCACATACTTCTAACGATTTTTCCATTAGAGGTTCGTTGGGGACCTCTATGATTGTAGTTTTTAAAATCTTTTCTAACAAAGTTGGATTTTGAATTTTCTCCTTTTTCAAAACGTTTTGTTCCAACTTTATCAAAAGAAGTTTTAAGATCATCAATTTTCTTTTGATGATCATCATTGACCTTTGAAAGTAAATTTTGCAAATCCAAATTTTTCTTTTCAAACTCTTCTAGTTTGATTTGCAAATCTTTGATTTTACTTTCAAGATCGTTGTTGGTTTTGGATATGAGTTTGTTTTCATTTTTCAATTTTGAAACATTATTTTTATATTTTTAAAAACAATTTCTCATAATCCGAAGCCAACCCATTATATTCCTCTAATAGCTCATCATAGGATAAATCATCAAAATCAGATGAGTTAGAGGTTACCTTAGAATCTTCCCCGAATGTCATCAAGAAAAAGTTTGCTACTTATTGTTCCTCTTCATCGGAACCTTCTTCATCGCTCCATGTAGCCACATGAGCCTTGTGCTTATTCTTTGATTCCCTTTTCTCTTCAATTTTGGGCAATCATATTTGACATGCCCCGGCTTTTTGCATTCATAGCAAATGATCGGGTCCTTCTCTTTTGGTTCATTTTTTAGGCCTTAATTTCGTTTGAATTTTCTTCCTCTGTAAGATCTCATCATTTTTTTGAACCGTTTGGTAAACAATGTCATTTCCTCGTCATCGTCATCTTCATTCGAATCACTCTCATCTTTTGTGGATTTGAGAGCAACTCCAATGTTTTTCTTATTCTCCTTCTCGTTTGGTGTCTCGTCAATCTTATTGAGGTCTACCTCATCTTCAAGCATCATTTCATGAGTGAGGAAGGAACCGATTAGTTCTTCAAGAGTTAAGGACGTTAGGTCCTTAGACTCGATGATTGTCGTCTTCTTTGATTGACATGATTTTGGAAGGGAGTAAACTAACTTCCTCAAAATCTTTTCATTTGAAATGATCTCTCCATATGATTTGAGACCATTGACAATTGTTGAAAATCTATCCGTCATAGCTTTGATATCTTCATTTGGTTTCATCCTGAAATTTTCATAGCTATGCGTTAGAATACTAATTTTAGATTTTTTTACCTCATCGGTACCTTCATGAGTGACTTGAAGCTTGTCCCATATTTCTTTGGCGGTTGTACAAGATGAAACTCTTCCGTATTCATCTGGTCCAAGAGGACAAAATATGATATGAATGGCTTTAGAGTTGAGCTGGAACAATCTTGTCTCTCCTTCACTCCACATTCTTGGATGAGTAAGAGGCTTGATATATTCGTCTTCTACAACATTCCATGCTCCCATGTCGCTTGCTTGAATGAAGTACATCATCCTATTTTTCCAATAGGCATAGTTAGCCCCATTGAAGAAAGGAGGCTTGTTGACGGGCATCGAATCGAGACCGGAGTCGAAGTTTGAAGTAGAGGCCATTGATGACTTTGATTATCGATGTAACTCTTCCCGAATCGACTCAAGAGGCGATTAAACCTTCAAATGAGTTATCTGATGCCAATTGTTTAGTTAATCGATTGACGGAATCGACCAAGAGGGGGTGAATTGGCAATTAAAAATTTGGTGGAAGCTTTTGCAGAAAATTGAAAGTAATTGCACAGCGATTTAGAGTGGTTCGACTTTCTCAACCAAAGTCTACGTCCACTACCTTAGCTATCCATACTAAAGATTTTCCACAAATTCACTAATTTGTCTTTCTTTTGAGGACAAATAGTAACCTTACAAACCCTCAAGAATTATACCCCAAATTCTTGAGAACACTCTCTCCCAAAGAGAACAATACAAATTTGCAGACTTACAAGGAAATCCTCACAAGTTAGATTGTTTGCACAATTCTAGAACAAAGAAAAGAACACTAAAAATGAATACAATTGAGTACAAGTAGTGTTCTTGAAAGCAAAATGAATATTGAATGAAAAATAAGCTTGAAATGCTCAAACTTGAGGTTTGATTCTTTCTCTTTGATTCTCTCTTGATTCTAGTTGCTTGTTGTTTCTTGTTTTTGATCAATGGCTTCTAAGCTTGTTTAAATACACCTTGAATCACTTCTGAACGTTGAGGATCATTAATGAAGTTATTGGAGTTGTTTAAGTGTGAAAACAATTAATATTTCTGCTTGGAGCGTGGGGGGAATCGGTACCCCTCATGGGGAATCGTTCCCTAAGTGTAAAATTCAAATATTTCGACCGTTAAACAGGGGGAATCGGTACCCCCTTGGGGGGAATCGGTTCCCTCCGAGGATTCTGTTTTTCTCGGAGCCAAACCATTCAGGGGGAATCGGTTCCCTCTGAGCAATCTGGGATTTTTGGCTTTGAAATGGTTCGAAATATTTTATAAAATTGTTTTGAAATTATTTTAAGATTAAAACTTAATTTTACACTTGAGTAAGTATTAAAAATGACATTTGGAAGATTTGGAGTAATATTTTGATATTCGAATAATTATATCGAATATACTTAGAAAATCTTTTTGAAAAATCTTAAAATTCATTTAACTTAATTTGTTATATCAAAATATCAAAATGTTTTCAACAAAAACCCTTATCAAGAGCTTATTTATGCTTAACCATAGGCTCCAAAAAGGGTTGAAAATAAAATATCCCAGTCCTGTCAGTCAATTGCAAAATACTCTGGTTTGCTCTTCCGATGTTCGTCAATAGTTTTCCATGCGTGACTAACCGTAAGAAGACACGGATTCTTTGACCTACTTTCACTTTCCAAATGTGTTCCCAGCCCCTGCCATTTGCACTAGTAGTCCCGTTATCTAATGCCTGATAGGCTGATGTAGTAAATAGGCGTTTATCATCCAAACGCCAACCTGGGATATCACCCCCTATATTATCTTGAGGAGGCCTAACCGCAGCAATCTTGCGAATAACGACATCTGGCAAGGCAGGATTTAGCCTATCCCAGTCCCATTGCCGTAATCTGTGACCATAGCAGATACCAGCACTGGACAAGGTATATTTGGATCCAACTTTCCGTCAACTAAAGGTCCTTCACTATAAAGCCATGTATCAAACCAAAAATCCCTTGTCCGCCCATTGCGAATATTCCAAAAGACACCATTGCATACCTCCCTCCAAATATTAGAGAGACCCTTCCAAAACTGGCTACAGTTATTATTTCGCAACTCTATCGGAACCACTTCATTCCATTTGTACTTAACTTTCAAGATTTGATCCCACGCCATATCCTCATAGAATCATTTTTGTTACACTATATAAATTTTGTAAAAGCTTTATAGTATTATTAATATAATTAGTATAATAAATATTTTTTTAAAATATTCCTACCATTTAGGAGAAAAGTGCTATTGTTGGTAAAAGATTATTACTCTAGCAACTCGTTTGGATCAAAGAATTTAGCCTTCCCAGCAGGTATTTTTTTCTTGATGAAGGATACCCATATTTGGATCAAGTAAGATTCTTAAGTGAAGGTAATATTTTAATACCAACAGTAAATTTTGTATTTTATTCTTGAAAATGTTATTCCCATATGTGTTAGGTATTTTTCCTTTCCCGTGCTGGGGCTAAAATACCTTTCTTTTCTTGTGAGATTACCTCTGATAAAGTAAATCAACCCAAAACTCAGAGGAGTTCTATCTTTCGATTTCCATATAACAATTTTTACAAGGCTAATCAAAGGCAATTGTTAAGGAAACAAATTCACAATGTCCTAGATAGTGGAAGCTATGAATCTCTGGAAATCTCGTCTGAGTTGGAAGAGGGGCTCGCTCAAGCCATTGAGGAAGCAGAAGCAGCCTGGGAAATAAGTAAAAGCCTTGAAGTCTCTTTTCAAGGAGGTAAGAGTGCTATTCTACGCAAAAGTTGTGAAATTGAGAAGGTGGGTCTTAATAGATCTTAAAGTGCCATTGGTTTTTATTTCGTTTTCTTATTGGGTATTAATCTCAAATTTATCCATGAATCTATCAATAATGTCTTGGAATGGTAGGGGTTTTGGTAAAAATGAGAAATAAAGAGCGGCCATTCCAAACACCATCCCAAGGTAGTTTTCTTCCAGGAATCTAAACTGTAGGTCGTAGATAATAATTTCATAAGGAAAGTTTGGGGATCAACTGTATGACAAATGGTGTTTTCTCCTGCTGAAGGGTCTACTAGTGGAGTAATTAGTTTATGGGGATCAAGCCATACTGCTAGAAATCTAAATTTAGTTAATAACTTGTGGAAGTGAAGACCCTGATTAGGAAATGTGACAACATCATTTACATAGTATCACTTCTTGAAGAAGTGAAAGTTATTAATCCCACATCAAACAGGACGAAAAGAAAGTTACTATAAAAAAATATGCGATTGTCTGCAAATAAGGATGTAGAGAGGTAATTAGCCTTGAATTGAGCCTCTAATTCCAAAGAGCTGTCGAGCATTACAGTAAAACAAGGATCAAAATGGCCATAATCATGAATATTTTTCTTTCTCCTTGGCATGTTTTTCGTTTAATAAAATGCAATGGATTTTGCAGACTGTGAAGGGAATTGCTGAAGCAGTATCCCTTTTGGAAGAAGACCTTGATGAAAGATTGCTTATTCACATATATATGTTATAGCCTAAGGAGGTATTTTATAAGAACTAGACCTGTAGTCATTATTTGTTATTGTTGTTTCACGTTCCCCAGTTTTTAAAGTTCAGTTTCAATTTTGATCTGAAAATTACACGTTTTTGGTAGTTAGACATGTTGAAATTGTACAGTCATCAAATATTTCATCAAGCAGCTTGCGGCCTTATAACTTCAGAATGGGAAGGGTCTTAACTTCTCTTCAAACTTTTAAGTGCTTCTACCACTTTGATCTCAGGTAACTTGTATTACCTATTAATTTTTATCTTAATCAAATCTGTAACGTCACAGACCTCTATTATTTGGTTTGAGAATACCGATTAAAATTGTCCTTGTGTACAAGTGAAGTTCAGTCTTCTTTCTTAGCGTCTATTTTTTGCCTGCATTAGGCTACCATATGACAAGGCTTAATTTGCAACTTGGTTTCTCTTTTCACATTGTTGGTTCTCTACATACATATGTTGTCATTTTCCTACCTCCTATTTTAGCATCAAAAGAATGTGTAGTCATTTTTTATTAACAATGGTATATGTTACCCAGGCTGCCTATATATCAAGAGAAAGCATCAAAACCTGAGACACTTGTCGGTGTTCTCCGTAATGGAATTTCAAATTATGTTCAAGAGCTGTGAGGTGCAAAAGCTATGATCGATGGGAACCTTGTGAGAATTACTCTAATCAACCTTTTGAATCTCGGAGCATCTTATTCATTATTAATCTTCTATGATTATGGAATAATATCTATTCCTTTTTAATAAATCCCTCACCTTTCTACTGCTCTGATCTTTTTATATTTAGGTTGTTAATGATGAAACTTGCACAACAGACGGTTTGCATGAAGTTGAGTTGCTTCTACCATTCATGAAGGATATGTACATTCCTATCAAAAAAATGAAGGATATGTACATCGGAGGTTCTCTGGCCATTTCAATTTTGAACTCAATTATATTTTTATGTTTTTTATAATGTTAAATCTAACATTTAATAATTTGCTTAAATTTTGTGAAGCATGCAGCCAGAAAGATGTTGTAGGTATTCTCAATTTTACTGGTTCTGTACGTTCCTTTTCATTCTTGAATTCAAAGGAACCAATTTCACAGGCTGTTGCTGATATAAAAGTACTCATTTCTTGGTTTGGATAACAACTTGGTCTTTTTTTTAATATATATACTAGAGAAGTTTTGGGATGTAAATTTTCATCCTAAGAGATAAATGTTGCATCTTTATGTAAGATAACAACGAGCAAGTTAGATATGTTTCAAATGTTTATCTAACTGGTTGTGATTGGAATAGAAATTTTGGAAAATATATGAAATTATCTGATTTAGTTGAGTTGATCAGTACAAATGTGTGCACCGAGACTCTAACATTCTCTTACAGATCAAAAGACATTCTAACCCTACAACTTTGGTCTGAAGAGTCTCTTTCCACCTTATGTCATATATGGTTTAAATTAGAGTTAGCATACCTCTCAGTTGTAAATTGTGCTTCTGTATGCATGGTGCAGGATTTTTCATGTAGCTATTATTTTCTCTTAATTGACATGTCATACTTTATTTGGTGATATGCTTTAAACAAAGCATATACTATATTTTATCTTCCTTTCGTTTTTATTGAGTTGTAGTTTCTCTTCATTTATAGCAATCGTGACTAGTCAATTCTTTAAAGACCCTTGTAATTCTTCAGCATAGAAATAAGAACTTGAAATGTTAACATTCAGAGGTTATTTGTATGTTCTCAATCCCAGAAGAATAAACGGCCTTATTCACTTGAGTGACATGTGCTTGATGTTCTTTTCTTATGCAATTGTTTATGGCTCTGATCAGGATGATATCATCAGGAGTTTGCTAAACAGGTTGGATATCATTTGTGATGAAGTGGATGAAAATGTATGGCCAAATGACGATGTAATTAAGGAAACAAGAAATGACCCATTGTCTGAAAAGCCGGTTTCCCAACTTGTTTTACAATCCTTGAAGTGCATTAGCATTGTTGATAGGTCTTTATTTTATCAAAAGAACCTAACTCTAATTAGAATACTTATTTACTATCATTCAATTTATTATTCTCTCTTTTATCTATCAATCAATTTGAGGAGTGATACTTTCTTTTGCTTAGATCTTTGATGTAGGCTTTCTTATTTATAGTACATTATTATCATCATGGCTTCATGCTAAAAAATTAAATGAATACAAATTAAACATAAATACTTATAAAAATAAATAAACAAATATAAATAAAATCATATTCATTCAAACTTAATTTATTTACCCCAATAATTATATATCAAAATTTTTAAACATCATCTTCGTTTTTACTATTTACGTTTAAAAATCTAGATTTTTACTCCAAAAACTAATCCTCAACAGTATCAGTTCAAAAATTTGATTTTCGCTACAGCTTCTATTGTTAAATAGGGCATCATTTTTTTCCCTACAAATAGTCCAAATAATTTGGAAATAAGTCAAATTTCAGACAGGCTTACAATAATTCAGACATAGCCGAATTAGCAATCTCATGATCGATATCTTAGAATAATTCGGACATGACCGAATTAGCAGCCACTTAAAATTGTTTTAGAATGCTCTTTAGATACAGGTAAGCTATTTCACTTGTCCTTTGTGTATGATCTGAAAGAAATTAACGGTCTAATATGTTCAAAGTTTGGCCTCTGTCGATTTTTGTATGTTCGGAGAGAAATTACAGGTTGGGAAACATGAATTATTGGGTTGATTGTTTTTCGTAATCAAGAGTTAAGTACAAATCAGATTAAAATTGAGTATTAATAATTTTATTAAAATATTAACAAAGATAATGATAAATAAAAGTGAAATATAAAATTATAGACAATATGATTTTTAGTGTTATATTTTCTTACTTATTTGAATTATGTTTTTATAATATAAATTCATGTGATAAATAATAATGATAAAGTATGCAGAATTAAGTATAAATATAAAAGATAAATAAATAAATTATTGTATATAAAAAATATAATATATATTATATCTTAGATAAAAATAATAATTTACATCTTTTTATTATTATGAATATATATGAAATTTTTTTACAGTTTAAACATTTAATTAAATGTTGATGTAAAATTTTAATAAACTTTTACATAAATTAAGTAAAATTTAATATTAATTAAAATAAAAATAATATATGATATATTTAAATACTCAAGTAATATATTATCAACAAATAGAATTTTTATATAATAATTTTTATTTAAATATTTAGAATTTCACTTGTTAAAAAATATAAAACAATGACAATTTGGTAAAATATACATTCCAGTAATCTTTTATTCCTTCAACCAAATATTGTAATCTTACATTCCTGTCAAACCAACCAAACACAGTAATGTAACATTCTCAGTAATCTATTCCCTGGTAATCTTTTATTCCTACTGATAATCTTTTATTCCTACTGATAATCTTACATTCTGTGAACCAAACACACCCTAAAAGAATTCTCCTAAACCAAATATAAGAATGCAATTCCCTCAAAATATTATTACCATGATAATAATCTTTTCCATTATATCCCAAGGTCCGTCTCCAACACCAACCAATATAATCAACAGAGGAAGCTTTCTGAAATGTGAGAAACAAATAAAAAATAAAATGGTTGCATCAAGAAAGGGAAAAAAAGGATTAAACGGGTTACATCATGTTCACCACTTCACCTTGCTTGCGCTATGGCAGTAATAGTTTTCTGCTCTTGTGGACTTCGCAGGCCACGCTGAGTATGTTCACTTTTAGTTGCCTGAAACAACCATCAGTGTTAGTGATTTTGAGCCTATATAAAACCATAACAAATCATACCGAACCAGTTGATAAAAATAGTAATAATGCATTGCAAGAAATATATAAAATGGTAAAGACTACAGTAAACGATCATGTCAGCAATGTTTTATTTGTATTATTCCCGTGCCACCCCACAAGGCTCACACAAGTTTACTATCTGCCATTTTTATTTCAAGAAAGTTTCAAAAATAAGTGAACTAAACCCACACAAAGAGAGAAAAATACCTGACCATCGGCGATTATCACTAACACGTGGTACTGGCCACCACTCTGCTCAACAATGCTCATCGCCATTTGAATGATAGGAGCAAATGATGTAGGTCCTGTAAAGGAATTGTAGTAATTATTTGATCGGACATATAACAAGAGGTAACTCCGAATAGGTATGGAAAAACAGGAGAATATGTAAACCTGAGAATTCTACAAGTGTCGCAAGTTCTCTATAGAGGCTTAAGACTTCCTTGAATCCATTACAAGCTCGTTCGTCTGGGTAGAAACTGAAGACCTCTTCGATCGTGTGTTGATGCTGCAAACAAATACGAATAAGTCTTAGCATCTGCATTTAAGTAAATAAACATCATTAACAAATTAAACACGTACCATCACCGAATCCGAAGCAATGAATTAAAATTTCCTGAAGAAAGGAAGCTAAGCCTTCCCCAATCATTGATATAGCCTGTTCAAAAGGATTTGGACTATTTCCAAGATAGTGCAAGCTTTTTCTATTGAATGATCTTTTCTCTACAAAAAACAAGCTCGATTCAGCGGATTCCAGCATGGCTAACAGCATTAGGGGTATGCAAATTCAGAATCGGATCCAATCAGATCCAAAAATTTCGAATATCTAAAATAGCGATCCATATCCAATTCGAAAAAATTGGATATCATGATCCGAATATAAAATTTATTTTGACAAAATATTAATTTTATATTTTATATTTTTTTATTTAAATTAACTTATTCGATATCTCTACTAAATTTTATATATATATATATATATATATTTAATTACTCACACACTAATAATTAAATATCCCAATTTTTATTGGATTATAATTTTAATGGATTAGTGGGCTATTTATTGAGCTAAAGGTATCTAATATCTAAAAGCCCAAATTTTTTTCGGATTTTCGGATAATCCGAAATTAAAATTTATCTAATCCGTATCCGATCAGATTATCCAAATTTTTTTCCGGATATCCGATCGAATTATCCAAAAATAAAAAAATGGATCGAATATCTAATTTTTTGAAAAAGATCGATCGGATCATTTTGCGCACAGCAAACAATACATTACTACTGGATATTAAGATAGTAGATCTTAACCTGTCCATTTGTTGCTCTCGGTGAAATCAATACCGACGATGAGACGTGAAGGTCCAAATCCAGCTTTAGCAAGAGCATCTGCCACCTGTAATCATCGATTAAGCAACAATCACCAAATTAATCATGGTCTTGGATAAGGATACAGCATCAACAGATCTAAAAATAAAAGCAACGTAGATAATAACCAGATCTAAGATTCCGTAATCGTCTGCAGTTCTCGAAGACCTCCGATCTTTCGTCCTTTTATCACCGCCACGGTTTTGATCTTGTCGCGGCTCCGGCTGGGGAGGTGGATAAGACTGTGAAGAGGCATAGCTATTCCGCGGCACATAAAATGGGCTTCCTTCTCCATAATAGGTACAAAAATGAACCCAGAAGGATTCCTTTGAACTAATCGGCCCCATCAACTCAAATATCTAAGGAAATTTTCGATTCCTAAACCAAAACAGATCCCGTCATCCTCAAATTAATCGAAATCAAAAGAATTAGTAAAATCAAACTTAAATTCACTTGCCAAAAAAAAAAGAACACCGCCGTTTCATATCAGAGAAAGAACAACAAACAACACGTTTTGAAGTAAACAAAGATAGGATCTATGTTAAATCTACAAGAGAAATTAAAATACCTCTAGTTCAAGTAGGCAGATGAAGAAATTGCTCGATGTCTCGATCGAAACGCAAAGCTGGAATGATTACCCTTTTGATTTTTTTTAAACCCTCCTGCTTTTAAATGGAGCTCTCGAGCATCCATGACGGTATCACATCCCCCTTATGACATTTGTCCATATTTATTATTTTTTGGGTAAAAACCTCTTTTATTTCATTATTTTCAATTTTATCACTGATTTTAAAAATATATATAGTTTTATCTTTTATATTATTGATTTATTACATTTTGATCATTAAAATTTAACAACTGTTATTCTAGTTGACGACAATGGTATATTCAAAAATATTTTTAAGAATAGACACATATTAATAATACAAAATTTTGTAGGATAAATTACCCATTTAGTACTTAAACTATTAATTTTGATCTGTTTTAGTATATAAACTTTCAATTTTTTTAAATCATACATAAAACGGATCAAAAATTTAATTTTTGAAAAAAAATGAAAGTCTAGGTACCAAAACACGTTTAGTACCTAAATCATATTTAAGTTTTGAAAATATTTAAAAATTTAAGTACTAAAACGGATCAAAACTGATAATTTAGGTGTCAAATGCTTTAAGTTTTTAACAATGAATATTAAAATGAAATAAAAAGTAAAATTTATGTATGGTTTTGAAAAAATTGAAAATTTATGTACTAAATTGAATCAAAACTAATAGTTTAAGTATTAAATTTATAATTCACCTATTATTTTATTGGGCGGACGCTAATAAAATTTTAAAATAAACATAATTAATAAAATAGTTAATGATTAGAAGAAAATTCAAATTTTAAGATTTAAATTACTCTTCCTAAAAACAACCTAGATCCTTCGGTGGTCGGTGGTTGTTTTGACAAGTAATTTGATTTCAAAGACTTTAGACAAAATATAAATTTTACCTTTCTTTCTCCATTTCCCTAATCTATCTCAATAACATAATCCTATTCTTTTTTAACCAAAAAAACTATTGCAATTGCCTTCTGTTGTCATTTGGCCTAATCTATCTCCATCTGTCTCATTACCATTATCATCAAACAATTTTTTTAAGTTTTCATTGGACAATCAAATTAGAAATTTTCTTTTATGAATAAAAGATTACGTATCTCGACAAATCTGAAAAAATATATTTGTTTAGACTGTATATTTTGACGATACATAATCATTAGACACTTTGGGCCTGTTCCAAATTGTAAATTTTATTTGCATTCTTCTTTCTTTTAATAGTATTTTAATAGTGTACGGTAATAATAAAATAATATCTTTATTAATCAATAACAACACACATCTTACAGTTATTCGAATTCATAATCTTAAAGGAAAACAACTCATAACAATAGCTGATGCATTGAAGACCAAAGGTGGGCACGTGTCCATCCTAAATTCGAATTTTCTTCAATTCGTTACCTATTTTATTAACGTTGTCTATCCTGAAATTTTATCTGTACCCACCTTGAAGCTCGAATTTTCTTCTGTTAACTACCAATTTTACTGACAGTGCCCACTTGATATTTTATTTGTGTCCAATCCTATTTAAAAATTGTGTGTTGTTAACATATATGTATTTAACTTTAAAAAAAATCTATATCTATATCCACTAATAACTCAGAACATAAAATCTTTACGAGTTTACGAGTTTGATAATGTTCATAATGATGAAATACTCTGCTATCACGTGATTTGTATTACAATGTTATACTATGCGCTATCATATGATTAATATATGTTGTTATGCTTGAGACGACTATTTCATCTGTGACATGGTTTACAAATCTCCTACTTCGACAATGTCTGTAGATCAACATCATTTAAACACGAAGGAACAACTTGTATAGGCTGGATGATAAACCCGGCTTTCCGACATTCATCTTCGAGGCGCTTCACTTGCGACGGACCATCTGGGCAGAACACAACCACCGCCCCGCCGCTCCCGGTGAATTTAGAAGCGGCACCGACCCTCCGAACCACCTCCACCATTTCTATGTTTAAATCACCCAAACATTCGTCCCCGAACATGCGCCTACATAAGATCCGCAGAATGACAGCATTTAGCCGAAACATGGAGTTCTTTTCGATCTTTAATTTCGAGTAACGAGAACTTGAATGGAGAATCGTAAGACAGAGTATAATTGATGGTGCTTATCGAAATCTTTACCTTCGGAGCTCGAAGTTGTGATTCATGAGTTCTGCAAGCTTTTGGTAATTCTTTTGGAGTATTACACTCTGCCCTTCTGCTGCTATATCTGCGACTTCTTTCATTGTTGATATAATAAATTCATCACCATCAAGCCACCTCTGTCGCACGGTGCTATGTACCTGTATCCGAATCGATATACAGTCATTTTGCTACTTCAGTAATAAACTCAGAAGTCAGAACACCGTATCTCCGATTTAAAGGTCATGTTTATTATTGCAGAAAGTATATAAAAATCAGGTAAAATATAAAAAAGATGCTAACCTTTCCTGAATCGCTTGGATTCTCGGCGTATATGAGATGGAGAGGCGGTAGAAGAGTAACATCCATGGGGGTATAGATGCCATGTCCCAATTTATCCATGTGTTCCTTGCTAAAATCCTGCAACAGGCAGAGTACAGCGACAGGGAAGACCCTCAATTCTTAAGTGCTAATTCATCTAGAACCGAGACGAATCAGTGTGCGATATAAATGTCGTACGATGCCTCTATATACTTGGTCTACATAAAGATAACATACCATGTAGACGAGGCCTCCATAGACTTGTGCCACTCTATCCTGAAGGCCGGCAACAATTCCGAGCTCTTTCTCTGCGCTAAGGATAAGATTGGGCCTGACTTCTACTTTAATCAAATGCCGGACATTGTAAAAATCAAGAAGGCAGCTAAGGGCAGCGGATACGATAGCACTGGACCCTGAAAGTCCGTCCTGAAAATTGTCAAGTATAAGCCATATATTGATGTAAGAATAAAACGAGAACACTACACAAACAGAGATAAAAAAAGGAATTGAACAATCGAAACTGCATATATATGTGTTCGAATAACTACAATGAACTACACTTCTTGCATGAAAAAATCAAGTGACAAACAGGTGACGTCAAACAACGATATATATTACGGACTAAAACATCATGAGTTCAATCTAAAGGGTATAGAAATTTCTCGTATCGCTAATCTGAGTGCTACCTGGCGAGGGATATTAGTATCGTACGATAGTGTGAAGTTCCCTGGTCGAAGATTTATGCCGTTATCCTTACAATGCTTATAGAAGAGTTTACAAATCGACATAATCAGTCGCACGCCTCCATAGTAACCTTCGCTCTGCAACCGACTAAACTGCAAGCAAAATGAATGCTTGTTTTAGCTCGTTCATATCGGTTTCGAAATGTAGATATCTATGCCTATGAATGCTAGTGGAACCAGACATAACTCTTGGTGAAACTGGATTTTATTCCATTGCTGCAATTAGAATCTCAGTACTTATTAAAGCGTCTCAAAAAGAACAAAGCAAAAGCATGTGTCAGCTTGCATTCAATAATTTATCATACTAAAGGTAACACAGAGAAGACAAGCACACATGCACGCATACAAGTACATTTATTGCAATTCATATATTGAAATTAAAATAAGCATCTGAATAATTTACATGCATGCATACATACCTACCTAAATTCATACATGCATGGATACATACATACATACATGCATACCTAAATTCATACATGCATGCATACATACATATATACATATATTAAGATTCATATTAGCATAAAAAGTCGAACTACACAACCAAATCCAAACATCTTACCAGATAATGAAAGACATGCATACATACATACATACATACATACATATCTTGAGATTCATATTAGCATCAAAAAGCCCAAACTTAGGCTTGTAAATGAACTGAACGTTCAACGAACCGTTCATGAACCGTGCGGCGGGAAGTTCGTTTATGTGCGTTTATTTATTAAATGAACGAACATGAACAAGATTTTGTGTTCGTTTAATTAAATGAACGAACATGAACATAGGTCTCATTCGTTCATTTACGTTCGTGAACGTTCGGTTATGTTCGTTCGGTTATGTTCGTTTATGTTCGTTCGGTTATGTTCGTTTATGTTCATTCATTTATATTTAACCCAATATTCTTAAATCAATTTTGGTGACCAATTTGTAAGTATCTTAAAAATATTAATTAATCTGATATTCTGATGACCAATTTATGTTCCTATATTCATTTTCCCCCTTTTTTCCCAAACCCTAGTGTTCACTGGAGAGTAGAGACGATCGCTGGAAGCTTCAAAACAAGTTATATTATAGTGCAATCTGAAGTTTTACAGGTTTGTTTTCATCTCTTTCTTTGTTTTATTTGGCTTAATAGTTGATATGTAAAGTTATTGTGGGTATCTTCACATCTAAAACTCAAGAAAACATCATACTTCTTTCTAGAAATAGATGAGAAGATAAATGTAATAATCGGAAGTATATGAGCATCAGTAAAGAGAAAAATATATAGAATTTGCCATAAAACAAAACAAATGTTTCTATGCAATTTCTGAAAAAGAGTGTAATAGCGGAAGTAATGAGTTTTCCAAGAAGAACCCATTAATAAGTAGAAAATACATTTTGACAATGAACTTTTGTTTTCATAATTCTTGTGTGGCCTTTAGTTATGGAGTAGACTTTAGGTACGTTAAAATTTTGAATGGTGGTTTAGCAATAATATCAGTTACAATATGTAGCATCGAAGGGATTTCGGATCTATGTTATTGCCTTGTAGTCCAATTTGTACCGTTTGAAATCTTTATGCTGTTAAATTTTCTACTCTGCCAACGGAAATGACCATTATTAACAAACCTCACTAAAGTCTGACATTGATGTCACAAAACTTTTAGCCAGCGAATTTATTAGAATAACGTAGTGGAAAATGATTGCTCATATGTAATCATGGACCACTAAGATAAATGTTATAGCGTTAAATTAAAGTCGTGTGAATCATTTAATATCTTTAAAAGATCGATCGAAATATTTGATATCTTCAAACATTTCATCACTGCTAATCAGCTCTTACGCTATTTATCACTGTAGATTTGGTTGATTTGCATTGTCGACTATTTTTCATGAAAGAACAATGGAAGGTATGGTCTCCAACGTTTATATTCGTTTATGTTCGTGTTCATTTATGTTCGTGTTCGTTTATGTTCGTGTTCGCTTATGTTCGTTTATTTATTAAATGTACGAACATGAACAAGTTATATTCCTTAATAAACGAACATGAACAAAAAAAAAATTTGTTCGTTTATGTTCGTGTTCGTTTATGTTCGTTTATTTATTAAATGAACGAACATGAACATACCTCCGTTCGTGTGCGTTCGGTTCGTTTACAGGCCTACCCAAACTACATAACCGACTCCAAACACTTTACCAAACAATGAAAGACATACATACATGCATACATACCAACTCGAAGCATTTTATCAAACACATAGTAACCAAGGAGATTTTCATATATGATCTACAACTCAGTTATCATAATTAGCACCAGGTGCAAAATCAACTCTCAGATCAAAACTCAAAAATGCCAGATCCAATCAAAGCCCTTAAAATCTCAATCTGGGTATTCTCTAAATCACCCTGAAAATGCTTATATAACAAAAAGAATTCATATTCAAATCCACCAAAAAAACAAAAGAACCAACTTATCAGATCCTTCAAAACATAAACACCCAACAAAGAAATCATCAAAAACAAAAACGTGAGAAGATTAAAAGAAAAAGAAATTACGAGGTGATCAAGGGAATCAAACTGAACAAGATCATGAACTGGATGAGGCTTGATGACAAGATGATGAGAAGGCTCCAATTTAGCCGAAGCCCAGAAATTGCCAAGGCTAAAAGTGATTGTTTTTCCAAAGTAAACATCACTTGGGTTCCCCAGCAATCCAACACGAGCGTAGGCTTTGCGTTCAATCATCCCTGAAGTAATGTCTTCCTCAGTTGAGTTCATCTTTTGATTCATTCCTCCCGCATGCAATGCACCCACCAAAATAAAATAAAGAGCTGCGAGCGGTTTGTACTTGTATTTGATCTTTGGCTTTTGTTTATGCATTATAGTGTCCAACGTGGTTACACATACGCCCCACTTGTAACGATTCTTACACATTTGTTCTTATCTTTTTCTCCATGTAACGACGTGTGTGTCATGTCATAAAATTACATATTTCATCCCTCCTAATCCGACTCAAAATTTTAAAGTATAAAATTGATATGATCCGATCCAAACCGATGCAAAACAAAGATCTAATTAAAAAAATTATAGAGAGAGGAGTATTATAACAATTATCCATAAATTTATATAAAATAATTACACTATTACTCTCAGGTTGGGTTCGATTGAAGATTTTTCACCCTCTACCTAAACCCGACTCGATCTCAGCCCTATATAAAATCTTACATGACCCAACCCAATTCGAATCAAAATTTTTAAAACAATTCGATTTAATCGAGTTAAATCAAATCGAAATCAATCAGTTTCTAATTAAATTATCATCCCTATACGGGGAGTGTCGAAACAGCCCTGAAGCTTTTTGGGCTATTTCGGGGAGCGATCCAACTTAATATTGGAAAAGGTTGGGTTTTAAAATAAATGTATAAATTAATAATTTTGGACTCGCCATTGACATTTGTGTTAGGTAGGTCGAATACTTAAAAAATATTCTTTAAAATAATTTTAAGAAAAATAATTTTAAAAGATAAAAAGTGGTTTGCATTTAACCATAAATTCGTTTTGAAAAAAGGGTTCGGGAGTCGATTACACGTGGGGAAGGATTATCACCCCCACATCGCCCAAAATTGGTACCTAAGCGATTATACATAATCTAAATATTGAAATTTGCAAATTCGAATATACATTTAAATTATGATCCTCTTTAAAAAAAATATAAGGGGTATTATTTTGCACGAACAATTCTCGAAAATACCTTCCTTGTCAGTAAAGGGGGCATTTCCATGGATTCTCCTTGCAAAATAATATTGCCCTAATTTTTAGATAAAATACATATATTAAATATATTAAAAACAAATTCATTCGAATATAAAAGGTATTATTTTGTTCGAACAATTCTTGGAAACACACTCCTTGTCGGTTAAGGCGCGTTTCTATAAATTCCTTATGTAAAATAATATTTGAAAATATTACAATTAGTAGGAAATTAACAAATATGTAAATGATGGATCAAAATAATAAAGATGGTGACTTTAGGGATTAAACTATACAACCAACAAGAAATCAAGGCAATCATTGCAAATAATTTACAAACTAGGCACTGCAATCATAAATAAACTAACTTCAATCATTCAGGACCAAAATGGAAATTATTAAAGTAAGACACTCAAAATAATCCTAAAAATAAGATAACAAGCAAAAAAGGACTAAAAAGAGCATTTTTAATATTGGGTGCTAAAATTACAAAACATGAAAATAGGTAAAACATGGGGTTAAATGAAAATAAATTAAAATTGCATGGCCAAATTAAAATAAATAAATAAAAACATATTCGGGTTCGAAATACAAACATGTAGAAACTACAGGGGCTAAACAACAAATAATCCTAAAAATATATAACATGCATAAAAGTGGGTAAATTACAAAAACATTCCATACAAGTGATCATTTTGCAAAAACACGCATAACTTAGTGGGACTAAACAGAAATTAAATCAAAAATATATAACATGCATATGAGATGGGTAAATTATAAATCGGTCTCTACATGTGATCATTTACAAAAACATGCATAACTTAGGGGGCCTAAGTGCAATTTCCCCCTAAAGTTTCATATAAAAATAGCTCTATTTTTTTGATTTCTTTTTTTTAAAAATTTCTAGAGAGAGAAGCTCTCCATTCTCTATAGAAATCGGCCATCGCTGGCTGTCGTCGGTGGCCGTTAACCACCAAATTTCACCAGCTTGCTCGCCTTGACGCAGTGGTCACAAATCCAGGCTCGATTTCATGAAAAGCGGCCCCCAATGCCACAAAATAAGCCAATAACCTATAGGCTTCCACCGTTCCGATCTCTGTCGCCTGTCGTTGGATCGCCTCGATTTTCAATTATGTTGCTCCCCTCCTCAAGACACACCTCATCACCATTCGGATTGGCCAAAGAAGATCCCGACCGCCGGCGAGGCTCTAGCCGAATGTAATTATTTGTCTTTTCTTTTTTTTTAGTTCGTAAGTTTAGTGAAAAAAATAAATAAAAAAGGTAAAAATGTTTTTTTATTTCTTTTTGAAATTGGAGTGAGACCCCCATTTTACATTGATTTTGCTCGGGTTTTTATAGAACTCGATTTACATATGTAAAATAAATGGAAAAAGATTATTGTTGTGGTTGTTGGATGTGCAGAGAGTGGCGTGCTGCAGCGTTGGTCAGACCCGTACGGTCGGTGAAGCCTTGGCAGGGAGGATATCCTCCAACGTGGGGTATGTGGAGTCATGAATGTTTCCATTTAATTCTCTGATTTTTCTTTAATCTTCTCCATTTTTTACTTGATTGGTTTTATTATTATTATGAAATAGTTGTGGTGGTTGATCTCTTGGCAACAAATAATACGACGGCTGGAGCAATAAGGAGCAACGGAGGTGACGGCTAATGGCTTCAGTGTGATTGGTGGCAGCGGCTAAAGATGTCTTTCTAGGGTTTCCAATAAACCTAAAAACCACGGGCCATTAGGATTTTCCAACGTTGGGTCTGTTGGTTGGGCCTTTGTGATATTGGATCTTGTAAGCCTCTTTAATTGTTGGGCTTTGGGTTTATTTTAATGGGCCTCACAAACAAAATGTAAAATTAATAATAAAAAAAAAAATAGAATTCGGGTGTCTACAACTACCCCTCTTTGCCCATTCTTATGTAAACAATTATAAGGAAAATACGAAAAGACAATGAGTTTTTGTTCGGTCAAATCATCTGAAATATCATGAGAGATCTGCTTCGTTGTTTCTCCAAGGTAGATCAAATCGAGAAACGTTGACTCATTCCTCTGTTCTTCATTGAAGGTTGAATCTAGGTAGACTTGTTCCACTAACACTCGGGGAATACCAAATCTTGAAAGAGATTGATATGTTCCGCTTTTTCTTGAGGGAAAATCAGATCTGGGGATGTTGATTCATTCCACTGTTCTTCAAAGAAGATTGAATCGAGGCAGGCTTGTTCCTTTATTACTCAGGTAATATCAAATCTTGAAAGAGATGGATATGTTTCGCTTCTTCTTGAGGGAAAATCATATTTGGGGACGTTGACTCGTTCCACTATTCTTCAAGGAAGATTGAATCGAGGTAGACTTGTTCCACTGTTACTCAGGCAATATCAAATCTTGAAAGAGAGGGATATGTTTCACTTCTTCTTGAGGGAAAATCAGATCCATGGATGTTGATTCGTTCCACTATTCTTTAGGGAAGATTGGATCGAGATAGAATTGTTCCACTGTTACTCATGTAATATCAAATCTTGAAAGAGAAGGATATGTTCCACTTCTTCTTGAGGAAAATTTAGATCTGGGGACGTTGATTCATTCCAATGTTCTTCAGGGAAGATTGAATATAGGTAGACTTGTTCCACTGTTACTCAGGAAATATCAAATCTTGAAAGAAGAGGGATATGTTTCGCCTCTTCTTGAGGAAAATCATATATGGGGATGTTGATTCATTCCACTGTTACTCAGGGAAGATCGAATCGAGTTCTATCTCCTTCTCTTGTCTTCAAGCATATCAAATCTAAAAATTAAACATTAACCGTTAGTATGTGTTTGAGAATTCGAAAACATCGTACCTGAAAGTCTTGGGAATATAATCTTTGGAAAGTGATTTCTCTTATGGGAGCTTGTCTTTCCTCCACCAAACATGAAAATCTGAATTGGTTACTTTTTTAAAAGTTTTATTTTTCATGAGATACTTAAATGTGAAACTTTTCTTATTTTTTAAAAAACATGTGAAAACATCATGTCTGCAGGTCTTATGAATGGCCCGAAGGACTTATCATCTTGCTTGAAAGACTTACGGATGACTCGAACGATTTAAGCATCATGCTCGAAAGACTTACTGATGTCCCGAATAACTTGCTAAGTAAGAAAATTTTGTAAATCAATCTTAGTTTTTCAAAAAGTCCATCATGTCCAGAAACCTCTTAAAAGCATACTTAGTTTTCTATATAAAAAAATACATTAGATGGATAACATGAGCTACTTTAAAAATGATGATTGTCATGTGCATTGGGTTTCTCAATTCTTGAGTTCCTGCCACTTTTTAATGCAACTCCCTCCATTTGAGGCTTGAATTTTGATTTTTTTTCTTGAAAAATCTGTAAGAATTATGTATGCACTTATGAAATGATGTATGATGCAATGACATAAATCCATGTATAAATGCATTTTTTCTTGATATATGGTGGGAATGGGTGCAAGAGCGATCTTCTTTCCCTTTATGATTAAGTTGTATTCACTTTTTGTTTGCACCAGCGTGCACTCTTGCAATTCTTGACTTGTGTCAATTTCTTCTTACCCCAGCAAATTTTCCCCCTGATAAGATTGGTTTTCTCTATTTGAACTTGTGTAGAAATCTAATAGAGTTTTCATATTTGAAAAGAGGATCCACTATTTCAAGCTTTGGAGACTGTATGTGATGTTACCCTATAGTGGGAAATTAAAGGCCACTGCCTGGAGCTGACCATCGTAGCAATTTGTGGATTATCAGACTGCCTAGGAGAGCCATGAAACACATCATGCCAAGTATGATGGTGGGAACCTTAGAAATAATTGGAATTGAAGGTGTTTTCTCGATTGCTAACCTCAAACTTAGTCCTCCAAGCTTTGCATTGATTTTTAGAAGTAAATCAATAAGGTACTGCCATACACTTGTGTGACTATACCAAACTATAAATATCAAAATTATTCTTATCAGATAAAACACAAAGGAGGAACTGTAGAGCTCCAACAAGTTTAGATTGGATGTCTCAAACATTTTATCCACTATATCAATAAGAGAGCA